CACCTTATGGATACACTCCTTTCTGTGATAGTCGTACTGATATGGATGGATTCAGGTAATTAATGATATGTAGTATTGGTATAATAATGGACCCTGTTTGGCCAAAAATGAAAGGGAGAGAATTTTTCGTTTTAATAATTTTTCCTTATGCATCTAGTGTAACTTGAATAAAAGTACATTAGATTCACACAATATCAATAATGCATCTACACTACAGCTAACAAAGGAAGGATACTACAAGTACATGTACACACTACTAGACTGTATAAATTACTATTATCATAACTGTACATACAAGTATTTATAACTATTCACGTGGACTGACCAGTCATTGAATTAACTGGTTGATACGGAATTCCTGGGTACCCAGAGTGAGCCACACCCATTCCCTGCTTTCCTTGAGCCTATGCCCATTCCTTGAGGCAGGCCAGAGCCGATCCCTTGAGCTCTGTCCATCTGTATCGGACCTCCTGGCCCCATCATGTATTGCTGCTGTTGACCCATAGGTCCCATACCACCAACACCACCACCACCCTGCTGCCATTGAGCCTACATGCATATATGTAGATAAAGAATATTAATAAATAAATGGCTGCCATCTTGAAAAACCAACCTGAATCCTACATTACCTACAAACACAGAACAGTGAGTGTCCTTAGTGGGTGTGACCAGATCAACCCTAATATGTCTCCCGTCAACATCTCGTCTGTTCAACTCCAAACAAGCACTAGCAGACTCCTCCGTCTCCATAATAGAAATTAGTTGTCGTCCCTGTCAGCTGTTTCCTGAGTTTACCAGGAGAAACTGCAACCGATCGTTGCCGTAGCGACTCGACTGAACCAAATGGGAAGGCCAGCTTGAGTATATCCTTCTTTATAGTCAATAGAGGAACATTACCAATAAATACTGTACGAGGGTTTCAATGATCATTCTTATTATTTCTATTTCTGGTTGTACTTAGTCCCAGTGAGCTCTCCTGTCTCTTTGTAGCTTTTCCTCTCTTTATCTCGGGGTCTGTCCCACTCTCTTCCTCTTTAAAGTTTTTGGGTGTTCTTTCTTTCTGTGTGGTGGGTCTGCAGGAGTCGATAGCTTCTCTTTCGCTTCTTTAAACAAAGCACTCAACTTTGAAAAGCTGTTAGGGAGTAGTCAGGCGTGGCCTGACCCTTGCGAAAACGGAGGGTCAGGAACCTCGTATATACCAGACTTGTTAGCTGCTGCAGAAATTCTGCAGTGACGCATTGTGACTTGCTACTGACTATGTAACTTTAATAATCATTAATAGTAATTGAAAATGGATGCTGGTGCTCTAGCTAGTCTTCTTGGTATCCTTTCTCTGCATTGGCATATTCTTCCAGATACTATAAATTCATCAGAGCAGTTATATAGGATGTCATCAGAAGTCTCATCTATAGGAAGCTCCTCAAACCTGGCCATATATGCCGCCTCAGTTCTCTCCATGTTGAAAACACCAAATTAGATCTGCTAAACGAACTGTAACAATTGTTAGCCTGGGAAGTGATGTTGCTTCCACAGCTGACAGTCTTACAAGTCGTCATTGCTTCTTTATGTATAATTCTACCATGCCACCTTGCGATTGACCAATCAGATTGCAGTATTGGAGGTCAATTATTTTTCATATTAACCTAGCTCGTAAAAATATAAACCTATCTCGTTAAATAATTAATTGATTGGCAGTTTGAGTTTGGTGCTCTGCGCTTATGCTCTTATTAGTCCATTTATCATCAAGTTTGGTTGATTCTTTACTGGCCTAGCCTGTTAGATATGTTGCCCCCACGGTATGTATGT